CCCGCATGCCAGAGCCCACAGACGGGGGAAGCGGTGGTCAATCGGGGCACAGAGCCCAATGCTCGAATATCCACATAGTTGCCCAGGAGAGCGTGACAGGCGTCGAGACCCGATCAGAAGCGAAACCCAGACGCTGTTGACGGAGCTTTCGAGACCGACTTCGAAAAGGTCGTAAGGAGGCTTCGAAGAACGATGATTTGGCGGCGATGCGTGGTGGATGAGGCTTGGTGAAACGCGCCAGGGGTTGGGGAGGCTCCGAAACGGGCCAGCCGGTGCAGAAAAACCAACTCTCTGGACGTCTCGTTGGGGTTTGCCGCTCAGCCTCCTTGTTTCAGTTGATGCAAGGCTTTCCTACACATGCGCATTGGCATGTAACGTACGACTGCCATTATGATCCACCAGGCCATGCAACTATGACCAAGTCTGGATCACCTTTCGGAGGGCACGTGCCTACGTACAAGACTCGTAGGATCGTAGGCCTCGCAGCCTCATCCTCCGGAATGTGGCCTTCGCAGCCCGAAATCCCCCTCTAATTGGGTCGCCCGGTTTTGTCCCATCCACCTTGGCCATGCATGCGGTCATTTGGCAGCCTACGGATTACTCCTTGTCAGGTTGGGGCAAGGCGGCTGCAGCATCAAATCTCAAGCGTCACCGCCTGTCCAGACGTTGGCATCGAGGTTTGAAATGTGAATGGATGGAATTGAGACGATTGAGCACGACGGTGGCCAAGAGGATAAGAAACAACATGTTCGGGTAAGCAAGAAGCACAGTTGTCAGTTCCCTTAAGCACGCCCTGTTGTATGCATCATAAGAATTCATCCGAGATCGTGCTGCTGGACATAAACATCCCTCCATAACGTCGGCGCCTGTTTCTCCTATTGCCTGTCATTGCATTCCTTGGTGTAATGCATATGTCATACTCTGCCAACCGCATCCGTGGAGCCGGGGGTCATCTAGCAAAACCCTCGTGTAATGGCTGTCATCGTTGCTGTCACTCGGTACCAAACGCTGCCAATTCTCATCTAACGCAGCTCGTAGCCCCTGCCGCTTGGCACTGCCGAGCACCACCTATCAACAACCACCACCGCCCATTCCACCACAGGCACTAGATTGCGAACTTCCTCGTCCATTCTCTGGCGGTTGCTTCGTATCGAGCGCGGTCGGTCTTGTAGACATGAGCAATCTCTGGAACAAGTGGATCGTCGGGGTTAGGGTCGGTAAGCATAGAGCAGATGGATAGAAGGACTGATCAAATATAAGCACATTGTTTTCCTATCGAGGAGGAGGCGATCGTGCAAACCTTTCGATATTGTCAGAGCCGGACTCCACTGGTCTCGAAGGATATCAAGGCAGATACTGCCGTTGGAGTTGATATTGGGATGGTAGATTCGAGTTGTGAAATTGACCTTCGGTGGCTTGAAGGGGTAGTCTGTGGGGAAATGGATGGCCAGGAAGAAGACACCGCCTTGAAATGGGCTGTCACTCTGAAAAATTTGGTCAGTTCCGGAAGCATCTTGAGCCAAACAGCTTTGATTACTTACGGGACCCATGATTGTGGCTTGCCAGTGAAACTAATTCATATGTCAGCCAGTGATCCAGGTGCAGGAGGTCGTATCTGCGCGGTGGCCTCGTCGATTTCGACCGCTCTCCAGAACTGTATACTTACCAGATCATCACCCATAGGACCGGCTGAGCATGAGGAGGGAGGATCACTACATTCCAACTTATCAGTATAGCTGTCCAAACAAGTCCGTATGATTTTGCAAGGCCCGAATTTGCCGCCCGCAGCATTCAGAGAGCAGATAGGACTCACCGGCCAAGATCTGTGAGTTCCTTGTTGATTCGCTTCAGAGCCATGGCTGAAAATATGGGTTTTCTGAGTTAGGGAGGGAGGATTTTGAGGCCGAAGGTGGTCGATATCGCGCGGATCGTGGGGCTATTATCTGAGTCAACTCTAAAGTGGTTGGTAATGGGCTGATAGAATAAAGGATAGCGGACGAACCTGAGGAATGTGCGAAGGAGAGATTTAAGAATTAGAGGTGACGATGAGGGTGTCGCAGGAGAGGGGACAGTATTGTCAACGAGGTTTGATCGGTTTGGTGAGGTTGGTTGTTATGCAGTCAGTGGTGAAAGGGAAGAGAGATCGACTTTCCTTCAGCCGACTGGATCGCAGTTTAAACTGAAAGAAGGGCGTTCACGCTTGGCGGGCCGCAGAAGGTGCTGGACGCAGTAAGGGCGGCACCCAGCGGGCAGGCAGAGCGAGGGAGCGAGGGGCGCATCTCTGACTACAAGTGACGCCGGACGGTGAACCTCAGGCAAGGCGGGCGGGCGTGGGCGGTGCGTGGGTGGCTTGGGTGGGTGCCTCTGCCTAGATGCCGCCTTCGCCCAATGAAATCCACTTGGGCGTCAACTTTTTCCTGGCTTCGCCACCGCAGCGAGGCCATATTTCCTGTCATCTGTTGTCATTAGATTTCTTTCTGACAAAGCATTGCCTGCGACAACGCGGAACCATCAACAAATATTCGACGAGACGTTGGCTCAGAAACAATACAGGGTAACAATAATAATAATGGTTCATTCCGTCTCTCCCAGCTTCTGAGTCAGGAACACTACTGGCTTACTGGAGCAAAACCTCACGTGGCCACCATGACGATGATGCCATCTACATCTCTACCGTATGCACATTTGAATATTTTGAGAACAATGTTTGTCGGAGACTCACATTTATTTTCATGCTGCAATCGCTTATGTACTCTTTGTCCCTGCAGCCGCCTGCTGGAGACCAGGTATAGCAGTTGGAGGTTGAATATATATCTCCAAATGATCTATATCAATGTTCGCCGAGATATACCACAGATATTCAAGTCCTGAGCTGTTCGGGAGCATGGTGTCTGTGAATATCGAAGTATGCCATTGGCGCCGTGCTCGTGAGGCATTGCCAGACAAATCTGGCTTCATTGAGGCTGGGTCCGATTAATGCACTGGTGATGAACTGTTGCCACTGGACCGCGAGACGGGGATGATAGCCGTGATCACAGAAGACATGCCGAGCGTGGGATAAGCGTGTACTTGAGGCTCGACGGTTGAGCGGTCGGATAAATACAGTCGGTTTACCCTTAGCAAAATGCCTGCAGCCCAGTAATAGCACGCCCCAGGATCAAGGCGTGTATATCACTCTGTCCTTCATATGTCTGCGTCACAAACAGATTCGCAACGTGACGCCCAATGTGGTACTCGTCGCTGACGGCGTTCCCACCAAATATCTCCTGGAGATGCCTGGCATTCACCAACGCTCGATCACAGTTCTGTCTCTTGATCATTGAAATCATTTCTGGAAGGACCTTGCCCTCATCCTTGAGACGGCCAACTTGATATGCAGCGGCAAGCCCGAAAGCTGCATCTGTGGCAGCATCGGCCAGCTTCTTCTGAACGAGCTGATACTTGGCAATCGGGTTGTTCTTGAATTGCTTCCTTTCTAGAGCATATTCTCGGGCCCGGCTGATGCAGTCTTCGAGAGCACCCATGGTTCCCCAAGCGATGCCATACCGTGCCGAGTTGAGGCAATTGAACGGACCTCTGAGACCCTCAACATCGGGGAACATATTTTCCTTGGGGACGGGGCAATCGTCGAGCTGGATCATGCCCGTTATCGATGCGCGAAGTCCGTTTTTGTCCTTAATGGGTGGCGTCTCGAGTGTGCCTGGGGGGCATTTCTCTCTCTCGACCAAAAACCCTCTGATCTTGCCTGTTTCTTGCAATTTCGCCCACACAAGCAGCACGTCCGCGATTGGCGAGTTTGTGATCCAGGTCTTTGCGCCTGAGAGCGAGAAGTATCCCTCCTTTGACGGATGTGGCTTTGCAATTGTCTCCATAGAACCTGGGTCGGAGCCATGATTGGGCTCCGTCAGACCGAAACAGCCAACCAATTGACCTCTGGCCAGCTTCTCCAAGAATTTGTCCTTTTGTTCTTGTGATCCAAACTCATCTATAGGTCCCATAACTAAGGAGCTTTGGACAGACATGCCTGACCGGTAACCCGAGTCAACTCTTTCCACTTCCCGCGTTATCAGCCCAGCAGCTACGTTGCTCACGCCTGCACATCCGTGACCTTTTATTGTGGCACCCAGGAGACCTAGCTCGCCCATCTCTTGCAAGATTGTCTTGTCGTAATCCTCCTTGCGGTAGGCTTCCAGAACCCGGGGTAGCAGGCGCTCCTGACAGTACGAGTGTGCCGTTTCTTGGATCGCTTGTTCTTCCTCGGTGAGAAAGTTTGACAGGTTGAGAGGGTCCTCCCATTTGAAAGCTGCAACTGAGGAAGCATGTCGGCGAGGGGCCGGATTCGCTGTCGGGACCAAGCGCGCTCGTGCAGCTCGACGAAGGAGGGAGCGTGACATCATGAGAAGTGAGTCCACAGGAGCGAGTGCAAGGAGAGAGAGAGAGAGAGACGAAGAAACGGATAGTCTCAAATTTGAAGGAGAAATGGCGAAAATTATAGACGTGGAGATCAGCGAGGTGATTCAATATGTGCTATTTACTACCAAATTGCCGAGGCGATTTGTCAATGTACCTGCGACTCAAAGTACTAGGAAATTAGAGAATCTCCGAGACAGAGGCGTTCACATCGCCACTTGAAAGACACGAGGGTTCGCAAGAGCTTGCCGAGACGTCCTTCTGAGACTCGACGGGTCGCCGGACTGACAAAAGTCTATAGGTCAATTCAGAGACAAAGGTCTCTTTCTTAGAATAACACGAGACCAATGCTGGTGATGCTGCACTACACGGTCTCAAACGCGGCAGTAGTACTCGATTGGTCGCAGCTGCGGAGGAGCTTATGGAGTGCGCATGCCGTCATTACGTCATTCACTTGGGCCCATCCTACAGGCGCGAAACGCGGTTCTGCGGGTCACTTTACGCGCATTTTCGTCCTGCGGCTTCTTGTCATGCGATTCACTTCCAACGTCCACTCAACCGATCTGTAAGAAGCACAGCGTCCTCTCACCATGGGGATTAAACGTATGTGACATTGCTCAGCCGGTTGTCAGGCCTCAACAAGCTCACTGTCAGCAGAACTCTACCATGTCATCGCCGAAGAGGCGCCTGATGCCATCAAGACTGGTGAGATCAAGAACCATTTTGGGAGGAAGGTTGCAATTGTAAGTGACTGCCGTCCATCGCGGGTGCTCTTACTGACCTTAATGTACTAGGACGCGTAGGCTTTGCGCAACTCACCGAATCGGCGAAACAGACGGCTGACTTGCACAGGTCGATGAGCATCTACAGTTTCCTGATAGCGGTCCGCTCAGATGGCCAACAGCTCATGTCTGATACGGGTGAAACCACGTCTCATCTTATGGGCATGTTTTACCGCACCTTGCGCATGGTCGACAATGGCATTAAACCACTCTACGTTTTCGACGGCGCACCCCCCAAGCTTAAATCTGGCGAATTGGCGAAGCGCTTTGCTCGAAAGAACGAGGCGAGCGATCAGCATGAAGAGGCAAAAGAGACAGGTACCGCTGAAGAGGTTGAGAAATTCTCACGGCGCACGGTCAGAGTCACGAGAGAGCATAACGAAGAGTGCCGACGACTGTTGAAGTTGATGGGCATTCCTTACATTGTAGCCCCCACCGAGGCGGAGGCTCAGTGTGCGGTTCTGGCGCGTGCTGGGAAGGTGTACGCAGCAGCGTCTGAGGACATGGACACTTTGACGTTCAACTCACCAATCTTGCTCCGCCACCTTACATTCAGTGAACAGCGCAAGGAACCCATTCAAGAGATACATCTCGATAAGACCTTGGAGGGACTTGGTATGGACAGAAATCAGGTATGACTCTACCAGAGTGCCAGCCAGTTGTAGCCAACTGACTCGTCCAGTTCATCGATCTATGTATACTCTTGGGGTGCGACTATCTCGACCCAATCCCCAAAGTCGGTCCTAATACTGCGTTGAAGCTCATCCGGGAGCACGGTTCTCTGGAGGGAGTTGTTGATTTCATTGAGAATGATACCAAAAAGAGATATACCATTCCGGAAGACTGGCCGTACAAGGAGGCGAGAGAATTGTTTCTGCACCCAGACGTGCGATCTGCCGATGATCCGGAATGCGACTTCAAGTGGGAAGCTCCTGATGTCGAAGGTCTCGTGCAATTCCTGGTTCACGAGAAGGGGTTCAACGAGGACCGTGTCCGAAGTGCGGCGCAGAAATTACAGAAAAACGTCAAAACAGCCCAACAGTCGCGACTCGAGGGGTTTTTCAAGGCTGTCCCCAAGACTGAGGAGGAGAAGAAGAGCCTGAAACGCAAACACGACGAGAAGATTGCGGAAGCAAAGAAGAAAAAGAAGGAAGAGGCCAAGACCAAGAAGGAGACAAAGTCCAAGGCACATCTATCGACCTGAAAAAGGGGAGCGAGGCACAAGCGCAGGTGTTTATTTGGGCAGATGGCATGCATTTTATGACGCATGAGGTTCATGGGCGATGGCAGGCTTTAAAACTACTGTGTACAATACAGTCCTACAAGTAATAGGCACACAGCATGGCGTTTCGGAGGGTGCAGGCAGGCAGGCACCGCAGTGTAGGCCATGGTTGCTCACGCCACGTATATGTCGCGCTGGGCACAGATGACAGGAAAGGTTGAGATAGGATTGGCTCTAACCTGTCCGGGAACATCTCACATGATCCGGCAGATCGGATCCCCTCAATCCCAATGGCTGAGCTTGATTCATCCTGCCCTCGAGTCTCTCTAGTTATCAACAGGCGCAAACGAACAATGTCATCAAGTGCACTCCCAAGTCACGATTCAGTTTGACATTAGATGGAACGAGCAGTCTCCACTTTGAGAAACCGAATTTACATGACCGCGATAGATTAATGCCCCCCCTGAGCCTGAGCGCGTTTTCAATAACAGCGACAGGATTAACATCGGATTGACAGATCTAGACTACAAAAACCAAACATTAAGGGTCGACAGTCAGACACAACATCTCGACAGCGCCTTGACAAGTCTCCATCCATGAACGTCAACAAAGAAACCCTATCTGACACGGGTGAGTCCATGGTAGATGGTGATGGGTGAATTAGGCAACAAAACTTAGATGCAGGCTACAAGGTGTGGCGTGAAGTGGAGTAGAAGAGAAGCGAAGTGAAAGTGAAAGTGAAAGTGAGGGAGAGCATGACATTGATGGGAAAAGAGAAGAGAAAAAATGACCAGATCAAGGATGGGGATGATGGTGGGAGGTAGCTTGGAGCCAGGTTTCTTGGTGTCTGCCGCGCGTGATCTGACCTTGTGTTGTTGATCCGCTTGCCGGGGTGGGAGAGTTTCGTGTCTTTCGATTTCCTCCTGGCGGGAGGGAAAATGCGAGGGAAAATGGATGATAATAATTCTGGCCGCCCAGGATTTTTGAGTTCCGCTGGCAGGTCAATCTGATTGGCTGAAGACCATCACAGCTCGCGGGATCAACCACACGTCACATGCAAGGTATAAAGCATCCGTTGTCTCCCCCGCCTCGCGCGCTCGCAGCAGCCCATCGCCCATTCTCATCTCTCATCTCTCATCTTTCCTTCCCCCGTCTACTCAACCCAAAGCTCGCCTACCGTTCTCTCTCTCCCACGTCCAATTGACACCATTTCCATCCTCTCTATCCATCAATTTTTCATCCCAACTCGCCTTACCCGTCACAATGGTTGCACCCGGACCAAGGAAAGTCGTCAAAGACCCAAAGGACAAGAAGCCTGCTGCCGCACCCGCTCATGCCTCATACAAAGGTACGTTTCTCCAGCCGTCGCGTGGTCGCATCGCGTCGGACTCAGTCCTGTCGTTGTCGCGTGTCAATGCTGACTCTGTATCAGATATGATCAAGGAAGCCATCCTGAACGTAAGTGCACTATATCTTGCGACGACCTCGATGCCCTCCGAAGATCGCCTATCTTTGTCACCAGCATGAAGCGTAGGAGGGCACAAGAGATTCGTCGCGATTGTCTATAACCGTTTTAGCATGTGGATTTGATGCTGACGCGTTTGGACATGCAGCTTAAGGAACGCAATGGTAGCAGGTGAGTATCTCGTCTACACCTCATCGTCGCCGGGCCCTCCGGACCCTAGACCAGCTGCTGACTCTGACTCCAGCCGACAAGCCATCAAGAAGTATGTCAAGGCAAACAACAACATCACTGTCACCTCCGAGACGCAGTTCGATTCTCTTTTCAACAAGGCATTGAAGACTGGTGTCGAGAAGGGTGATTTCCAACAGCCCAAGGGTATAGACTTGTCTTGACATGGTCCTGATGTTTTCATACTGAGTTACTGTGATTAGGTCCCTCGGGTCCAGTGAAGCTGGCAAAGAAGGAAGCCAAGCCTGCTGAGAAGAAGGCCGTCAAGGTTCGTCGCACTGTGCTCATTGTCGGCCCTAGTCTCCTAACACCTGTGAAGAAGGAGAAGGCCCCCAAGGAAGCCAAAGAGGCCAAAGAGGCCAAACCCAAGGCTCCCAAGACCAAGACTGTCGCTAAACCCAAGACGGCCGCCACCAAAGCAAAGAAAGCCGCTGCTCCGAAGAAGGCCGCCACCGCCGCTAAGCCCAAGGCCAACACTGCTACTAAGAGAGCACCCAAGACCAAGACAAAGGCCGAGGCACCGGTATGATCAGTGTAGCGATTCAACGGGATGTGTTACTGACTTGTCGTCCAGGCACCTGCTGTTACCGATGCTCCCCCGGCCTTGAAGAAGACCAAGTCAGGACGAGTGACCAAGCCAAAGACCACCACAGCCACCAAGAAGGCCGCCCCGAAGAAAGCTGCCACAACGAAGAAAGCCGCCGCGCCCAAGGCCTCAGCGGCAGCGGCCTAAAGGTCACAGCTCGAACCGAACCTCGACGAGAAGCTCCCAGCTTTTCGATCACGTTGCTGTTATGACCTGACATGTGCTGCTTGTTCTTGTTTTGTATCATGTATTTGGGATCATGTTGAAGGGGTGAGGGAAGCGAGCGGCTTGCAAGGGTGGATGGGCGTCAAGCGAGGGAGAACGGTCGCCGGTACCAGTCATCGTCATCTTTCAGTCTCTCGCGTCATGAAGATTCTTCGCCGGCTCTTTATGCCTGTACTGGGTATGTCTTATTGGGTCTCGATTTTGGGTTGACGTGTTTAAGAGGAATGCTTGTTTTCGGCGTTGGGGTATTCTGCGGACTGGACAATGGGAACTGATACGGGCAGTGTGGTTTGAGACACTACAGCAAGACAAATGATACGGGAGGGCGCGTGTGAGGGAAAGCTCACTTGCTGCGCTCTGCTGACTTATCGGCGGCGTGGATAAGGAGAGCTGTCGCTCTGCAGATATCTGATATACAAATCAAAACCCGCCTTAAAACTTGAAATTGTTTCTGCTTCCCGTGTAGCAACGACCTTATCCAAAGTGTTTGTAGTAATAGCACATGGCTTGCAGGGGACCTCTAGCCCTATTCGAGGTAGCTGATACTTATGGTTGAGGAGGGGAAGCTACAGTAGATACTGATTTTCACGTGTCTAGGAACTTGCTCGAGATCCAGGTGGCAGGCAAGTCGCCACCCCTCTTGTTCTGGTGTTGCTTACTCTTCCTTGGCGCGGTTTGACGGGATACCCTTGGTGAAGGGCTTCTTGGACCTCTTGAGTTTGCAAGAGTCGGTTGTGAGTTCTCGATATATGCTATCGAAGCCGATCTCTGACTCTCCTTTCGACCAAAATTTTTTCTGTAACCTTACGTGGCGAGATGGAGGAGGAGGTGGTCGGTCGGTGGACATGCTGTTCCCCCAAATGCCGTCGGACTCACCGCTCCACCCAGCGCAGTTTCAAGTCCCGATTCCTCGCCATCTGCAGCGTCAACTTGGGCTGGCTGTCTCTCATGACGGCCTCGAAGCGGGCGCGGATCTCGTCCGGGGACTCGTCGTCGCGCACCTTGACGGCCTCGCAGCGGTACCTGGCGAAGATGGTCATGAAGACGCTGACAAACTCGACCTGCGACATCTTCTGACCCGGGCACGACCGCGGGCCCGCCGACCACGGCAGGAATGTCCCCTTGGGCATCGATCGGATGTTCTGCCCGATCGTGTACGCCGCGCTGGTGCGTGAGGGGGCTTCATCAGGCGAGACGAGCCACCGCGACGGCCGGAACGTCGTGGCGTCATCGCCCCAGGTGCGCGGGTCCAGGTGCAGGGATACCGTGTTGATGTAAACGATGGTCTTGGTCGGGATGTAGTACGATCGCCCTGAGGGTGTCGTTATCGAGACATCGTGCGTCGAGTTCGTCTGTTTCGCGCTGTGGGCTTATCGTTAGTACGGGATATCTTCCGGCTCTCTCTGCCCTCTTCTTCTCGAAAGATAACAAAGGGGGGGCCAGGTTCAGGGGGTTGGCGCTCAATAAATAGTGTCGTGGACGATCTTGAGGGATAGATACTCACATGTGTGTCAAGGGTGGGAAGAATCGCATCGTTTCCAACTGTTCAAAGTGACCGGAGAAGGCACGGGTTAGCAATTTTTCCTTCAATCACATGTGCTCTTCCCCGAGCGGCCGGAGGAGATCGATGAAGATGGATCTTGGTTTCTCCATCCGCCTCGAGAGGGCGTTAGGGGCTTACCATAAGAGCCAGACACCGTGGCAGACGAGGATAGACCTCTGTGTACTCGAGACTCTCTGCGTCTGCGGCGGCGCCGACAACCACCTTGATCTCCTCGTACAGCCAGTCCTGCCATTCCGGGTACGTGGCCAACAGGGCCAGCGCGTAGGCCATGGTGTTTGCCGTCGTGTCGAACCCGGCGCTCGTGAAGATGAAGAGGTTCCCCAGGATCTCCTCTTCCGAGAGACCCTGCGTGTTCTTCGAGTCGGCATCGCCTTGGGGCTGGGACGAGTCCGCGAGGCGAACCAGCATGCTCATCAGGTTACTCCGGGGCTCGGGGCTGTCGCGTTGCAGCTTGCGCTCGTTCTCCAGCATCTCCCTCGTGTGCACGGGGAACTCGTTCTTCGCGTGCCCGATGATCTGCCACGCTGGCGCGAATATGGGCAGCGTGAGCAGCTTGGCCGGCAGCACGGCGGCCTCGATGATGTTCTCCACCACAGTCCTGGTCGCCTCCATATACGTCGTCCGGTAACCCTTGGGGCGGCTGGACTTTTCCTCCTTCCACGGCTGGGAGATGCCGAATCCCGCGACGCCCAGCACGTTGATGGCGATCTGCTTCATGCCGCGCATCGTGTCGTCGGTCACGCCCTTGAGATCGTCGACGTATGACGCCAGCATCTCGCGCGTCTGTCGACACGACTCCCCGAAGACGAGCCCGCTGATCTTCTCGTTGATGTTCGGGGCGATGAGTCGCCGCTGTCGCGCCCAGTTCTCGCCATCGCTGGTGATCAGGCTGGGGCCAAAGATATTGAGGATGACGCCGCCAATGTCCGTGTTGGGGAAGTCCTTGATGCGCTTCAGCACCTCCGAGGCCAGTTCCGGATCCATCAGACTCAGCTCGTTGGAGCCGGCCGTCACGAGGATCACCGCCGGCCCACGTTTGTCGAAGACGGCCGTCTTGCTGCGGAACTCGAACCCGTACGTGGCCAGGTTGATCGGCTCGTACATCCAGTCGGGCAGGAACTTTTCGAACAAGGGCCGCAGGGGCACCGACACAATCATCCATATCGGATGGTAATTGTTGAGCGGGAAGACGATGATGGGAAGCCTCGTCTTGCGCGCCGACAGGTAATTCTTGAAGAGGTTCCAGAGCGTCGAGGCAACCCACAGCCCGTAGAGCGTGGCCAGGATCGAGATCCACGCCATCTCTTCTGTCTTTGGCCACTTGGTCTTCCTGTTGTTTTGAGCCGAGAGCGGGATTTCCTAAGTCCTCGCAGGGGTTCCTCACCGGGGAAAAGGGGGGTTTTTTTGTGCAAGAATATTATCAGATAATAATATACTCTTCGTCCCCCCTACCGCAGTACTCTTCTTTTTAATCCGGGTTGGGATTTCTTTGGGTTCGTGGGGACTGGATTATGGCATGTATTACGTATCGCGAGGGATATCGATATTTGATTTAAAAAAGATTTGTCGATGGGATTCCTTTTGTATACGCCTCCACCACCCATGCCAGTTGTACGGAGTAAGCTCCAGGTGTGGACGAGTAAGATGAGGAAAAGCTTTTGTTAGGCACATACAGATTCTCAGATCCAGGTCGTTCGTATATTGATATCAGACACTCTGTCGAATTTATAGCGGGAGATGTTTCCTCCACCGAATCCTCGCTGGACGCCTGACAAATAGTGAAAGAGGGGGGGGGGGGGAAATGCCAATGTGTACCAAAGTACGACTTCTTAGGCAACTAGAGTACCTATGAATATACCCAAGGAGAGTAGTACCTCGTAGTTGGTTCAGGACCTGATACGAGGGTCAGACGGGTCGAGGGTGAAGTGTCTATTGGCCCACCATCAGCATTCCTACAGACGAGTCCCCCAGTCCCTCAGTACCTCGTGCTCAGACTATTCCGCAATTCGCTTCGCGAGAATCCTTCGCTGGGTGTCTTCCGAGTGGTCTGAGAAGAGATGACATGTCTACCCACGTACCTACCGAGTACATCTCGTGGACTGAAGATGTCTTCCTTGAGGCTTCAGGATTCGGCTGGGCAAAGAAATGGCTACGTCCTTACAAGCAATGAATGCGACATACTGGCGGTCACAAGGATATTCTTGTTCAGTGAACCTCGCTATGCATTGAATTCATTACAATTTTCCCCTAAGCCGTGCATTGACCGGTAGGACGAGCATTTCTATCCAGCTTTGCCCAATGGCCTCAGCATCATCTTGACAATGCAATGTCGTCAATCCGTAGAATCATCTTGACCGTCTCGGCTGCCAACTCAATGGCACTCGTACTGACGAGCAGGGGTTGGAGCACCTTTTCCTCTGCAATGTTCGTCTTCACGCCGCCACTTCTGATGCTGACCCCGGCGTTCCGTTCTCCCATGTCATGTCGGTGGCGCAGGTCCGTAACCACCTTGATGCTGTTGAGACCTGCGTTCTCCGCCAAAGTGGTCGGAATCACCTCCATTGCATCGGCAAAGGCTTTCCAGCATATTGACTCCGTGCCGCTCAACTCCCGCGCCTTCTTGGCCAGTTGATGGGCGATCTCGATTTCAGGCGCACCACCACCGGCGATCAGAGCCTTCTTCTTCACCAAACACCGAATGACACACAGAGCGTCGTGGATGGAGCGTTCAGCCTCGTCTAGTACTAGTGTGTTGGCACCACGAGCGACGATTGATACCGTTTGATGTTGTGGCGAACCCGTCCGGATACCCGTGACCTTGACGTACCGCGCTCCCGACGACTGGACTTCCTCCACCAGATCGGCACTACCCAGTTTGTCCTCCGTAAAGGTGTCGATGTTGGCGATGGGTTTGCAGCCCGTGCTCTTGCACAAGAACTCCACTTCGTCCCGTTCGATGTCCTTGATAGCCATAATCTTCAGGCGCGACAGGAAGTGTAGAGATAGGTCGTTGACTGCGTCTCGCAGAATGGATTTCTGGATGAAGAGCACGTTGCATTTGGCCTTTTGGATTTTCTTGACCATGTTAAGCAGATACGTCCTCTCTTCCTTCAAGATTTTGTCCATCTGCCTGTAGTCGTTGACCACAATCTGATTCTCCATGTCCGGCTTCGGAGGGCTCAGCTGGAACTGGATCAGGGCGATCTTTGCTTTCTCTATCCTGGTGGGACCACCACTGCTCTTGATGACCGGCTGGTTGAGGACGAGTCCATCAATCATTTCCGAGTCTTCAATGGTGCCACCCACCTTTTTGATGATGCGAATGTTCCGGAGATCAACGTTCTCAGCTGTTTTCGGGTCGATAGTCTTTAGCACGGCATCGACTGCCATGGGGCCAAGCAACCCAGAATACTGCGACACAATTTTCGAAGAGAGGGATGTGGAGGCAGCCTGGAGCAGTGTGGTTCGGTCGGAGAGCGAGATGGGTTGCGACATGTCCTGCAGAATTCTGACGGCGGCTTTAGAAGCCCTCTGGAACGATTCTGAAATAATGGTGGGATGAATGCCTTTGGCAAGTAATCGATCCGCCGCACCGAGGAGACTGCCTGCGATGACGACCACCGACGTTGTACCATCGCCTGCCTCGACGTCCTGCGCGTTACTCAGGTCCACCAGCATCTTCGCCGCTGGATGCATAACACTCATGCTCTTCAACATGGTACTTCCATCGTTCGTAATGAGGTTCTCTCCTTTGCCCGACTGTATCATCTTGTCCATGCCTCGAGGGCCAAGGGATGTTCTGATGGCGTCTGCGACGGCTCGGGCAGCCATGATATTTGCCGTCCGAACAGCCATCGGCTTCTCCTTGTCCTGGAAAAGGCGTTAGTGGTTCTCTCGTTTACAATCGTCTGCGCTCTGAACGAACCTTGAAGGCCGCATTTCCCACGTTGCCCTGAATGCCCAACGCTGCAGCCATGATGAATACTTAGACACAAGGAAGTTAGCTTGACTGCGCGGCTCTGAGCTAATGTCACAACAGCCTCTTTGTGGAGAGTTCGGTCATTGAACACATAGAATCAGGCGACATGAAATTTCACGAAAGTTGGGGAATGAAGCGGGCCACAATTGCGGTTCTGTGGCTTACATAAGGTGATTCAGGCACCGCGCTGGCTGCGCGGACTGCGAGGTACGGAGTCCTGCATCATTCGCTTTGCTCTCTCATGCTCTTGTCAACACTCCCACCATCGACTTCATTTCCATACTCTTGTCGCAATTTCCCCCATCAGTCTCACGAGTCTTGCTCCCTCAGCCGGTGCTTATTTCGCTCTCCTAATCTAGACTCTTATCCTCCACATACCTTCTCAAGATGCCCAGCGCAACCGGCCAGAACTGGGAGAAATACCAGAAGACCTTCGCAGATGAAGATGTGCCAGAAAAGAAGATCACACCTTTGACAGAAGAGTATGTTTCGAGTCAGCAGGGTAACTGCGACTTTCCGTACTGACCTTCAACAGAGATATTCAGGTGTTGAGAACGTACGGAGCCGCACCCTACGCTGCTGCTCTCAAGCAGATCGAAAAGCAAATCAAAGAGAAGCAACAAAGCATCAACGAGAAGATTGGCGTGAAGGTAGGGAAGTTGCATCAGTTCCGCGATCGCAAGCTGACACGTTGACAGGAGTCGGACACTGGTCTCGCGCCTCCTCACCTCTGGGATGTCGCCGCTGACCGCCAACGCATGCAAGAGGAGCAGCCACTTCAAGTCGCTCGATGTACGAAGATTATACAGGATGAGAAGGACAGCGAGAAGAGCAAATATGTCATCAACGTCAAGCAGATCGCAAAGTTTGTTGTCAATCTCGGAGAACGAGTCAGCCCTACAGATATCGAGGAGGGAATGCGCGTTGGTGTTGATCGCCAGAAATACTCCATCATGCTCCCCTTGCCGCCCAAGATTGATCCCAGCGTGACGATGATGACGGTTGAGGATAAGCCCGACGTCACATACGGAGACGTTGGTGGGTGCAAAGAACAAATCGAAAAGTTAAGAGAGGTCGTCGAAATGCCTTTATTATCTCCTGAACGGTTCGTCAAACTCGGAATTGATCCTCCCAAGGGTGCTCTGCTGTATGGGCCTCCTGGTACCGGGAAGACCTTGTGCGCGCGAGCAGTCGCCAACCGAACAGATGCCACATTCATTAGGGTGATCGGGTCCGAGTTGGTTCAGAAGTACGTCGGTGAAGGTGCGAGGATGGTTCGAGAACTCTTCGAGATGGCGCGGACGAAGAAGGCGTGTATCATCTTCTTCGACGAAATCGACGCCATTGGTGGTGCCCGGTTCGACGATGGTGCTGGCGGTGACAACGAAGTCCAACGGACCATGCTGGAACTCATTACGCAGCTTGATGGTTTCGATTCAAGAGGAAACATCAAAGTCATGTTTGCCACCAACCGGCCCTCGACGCTGGATCCTGCCCTCATGAGACCGGTAAGCCTAGGCCGCAAGGTCGCCTCATCACTCATATCTCCGTGTACTGATGTCACTGCAACAGGGCCGTATTGACCGTAAGATCGAATTCTCCTTGCCAGACCTGGACGGCCGTGCTGGTATTCTTAGGATTCATGCGAAATCGGTGAGTAGCACCTTCTTCGATCTGTTGCGAAACGATGCTAACTTGCGATATTTAGATGTCCGTCGAGAGGGATATCCGTTGGGAGGTGAGTAACTTATCCTTTCATGACACGTACATAGCTAACAGGTTGGCAGCTGATTGCAAGATTGTGCCCTAACTCGACGGGTGCCGAGCTAAGGTCGGTAGCCACCGAAGCTGGAATGTTTGCGTGAGTTTTCCCAGTCTTTCTCAGTATTGGGCAAGTAGGACAAACTAACACACGGTTACAGCATTCGCGACAGGAGAAAATTGACCTCCGAGTCCGACTTCCTCAAGGCGATCGACAAGGTAATCAAGGGAAATCTGAAGTTTGGAAGTACGGCGGCATATGCACAGTACAATTAAAAGGGGGTTTCTTGGATCATTTTCAGCGCGCATTTCACGGAGTTGATATAAGGCCAGCCCAGCAGACCTTGAGTCTGGGGCGTGTATCATAAATTGGGAGCTAGAGCTATCGCAGCAGGGAGGACTCGACAACCTCTGTTCGCTTCGAGACGTGCGTATGAGATCAGGCCTACGGTTGTCTCCTGTTCCCACATAATCTGTCCTGTACCGTGTAATTCAGTGACGGTTTCCGGTGGTCACACGCAAAGATCTATTATGATGTAGCAGCGATATTTTGTAAAGGTCGAAGGCTCGTTTTGGGGTGGAAAGGGAACAAATAGACAGCCAAACCACGGCCACATCAGAAAATCAAATACAGTTGGGTTGGTATAGTTTCCCGGCCGGCTCCACGTCCAACTTGATACCTATCGGCAACTAGTGAGAAGTCCTTATCGACACGAATGCCCCTGGGGAGTCTCGATGAGGAAGATGGTCGGAGAATATTGTCCGGACACCTTGGGAAACGACACCGCGTTGAAACCTGATGATGGCAACAGAAGGCAGTCTCTTTTTGCACCTCCGCTTCAAAACGCGCTGGTGCGGGACATGAACTTCAACCCATCGACAAAGCTCGATTCACATCTATCAATTTCGTTGTAGGCGACGCTCTGGCTTCATGCCACCTGTGTCCTGACTAAGTCTGCTAGTTCTCAGCTTTCTGTATCGACAACATGTCCCAAAAAGGAGTATGAGATGGTTTTTCCCCGGAGGATACCGGCTACGACAGGGGTGTGAATGCAGGGCATATCATCGTGGGAGAGGTATGTTGCACCGGATATCGTGGGGAGCTGGATTTGGCGTCACGACGCATGCGGAATACGTGTCTGTGGTGGCCGACTGAGCCAGCGGAAATTCAAGTTGAAGACGCAGAAATGAATGGCATTCGAAAAGGAACAATTCAACACAATCAGATCAAGGCTGCGACAAGTTCCCTACATGGATGGCGACAGCAATAATCACCCCACCGCCACCACCAGCGCAGGAGCCGAAGTGCGAGTACGAGTAATGCACTTGAATTACCTCGCATTTGATTGGCCAGAATCTCCCTCGGGAACTAGACTGCGGTCTTTGCTTCAATCGAATGTTGCAGGTTTATCCCTCCTCTGAACCACGCCATCTCGTTCTCATCTCCATCATCCCCAATCTCTTGTCAAAGCTCAAGCCTTGAATGACTTGTGCCTGCCCAAGATGAGCTGTCTCAAGATTTTGCGGAGCTTAGGGCCCGGCAACAAGGTACGTGCGAGCTTCAACTTGGGCCGGAACCAAACCTGATCGTGTGTGCAGTTCCCGACGAGCTTGAGACAAACCAGCAGACGTCAATTTTCCTCTACGAGACCTGTCGGTATGTTCGGAAACGATGAGTGCGGTGTCCATCAGAAACTAAGACTTGTCATATAGCCCGGGTCATCGCTTCCCAACCTCTGCGAGCGAAAGAAGCCGAATCTTTTCCCTATGGCACCTATCCGATCATAGAGTCCGTCGACTTTTGCGAAAGAGCTTTGACACAAAACTGACACTTTGTCGTAGTCACGAGTACGATGCCGTGGTCGTTGGTGCAGGTGGCGCAGGTCTACGGGCAGCATTCGGTATGGTGTTTCTGGCCTGTTTTTTGCTTCCCTTACATTGACGGTGGCGAAAGGTCTTGCCGAAGCTGGTTTCAACACTGCATGTATTTCGAAGTTGTTCCCCACGAGAAGTCATACGGTGGCGGCGCAGGGCGGTATCAATGCCGCTCTGGGAAAGTTAGTATGACACTTTTCGCACAAGGCTCTGTTACTGACGGATGTGCAGCATGCATGAGGATGACTGGAGATGGGTAAGTCTCGACCGCTGCAAGCGCCACAGTCTCAACTGGAGCTCCGCTGTTGCGAAAGCTCTCTATGCGATGTGATACATGAACGAGCTAACTAATTGATTCCTCGCCTACAGCACATGTACGATACGGTAAGCATTCAAACTCCTCATCCGCGGCTCCTCATGCTAATTGTACCGTAGGTGAAAGGTTCAGACTGGCTCGGTGACCAGGACGCAATCCATTATATGACCCGCGAAGCCCCGCGATCCGTAATCGAGCTCGAAGGCTATGGGTGCCCGTTCTCTCGAACCGAAGATGGCCGGATATATCAACGTGCTTTCGGCGGACAATCACAAAAATTTGGCAAAGGCGGTCAGGCATATAGATGTTGTGCCGCGGCCGATCGAACCGGTCATGCTCTGCTGCACACACTTTACGGTCAATCTCTTAACTACAACACCAACTACTTCATTGAATTCTTCGCATTGGACCTACTTATGGAGGATGGAGTCTGCAAAGGTGTCATTGCATACAACCAGGAAGACGGCACTCTCCACCGATTCAAAGCGCAAAACACTGTCTTAGCAACAGGTGGCTATGGTCGTGCATACTTCAGCTGCACCTCGGCGCACACGTGTACCGGCGATGGCATGGCTATGGTGGCTCGCGCCGGTCTGCCCAACCAGGATCTTGAATTCGTCCAGTTCCATCCGACTGGTATCTATGGAGCTGGCTGCTTGATCACCGAGGGATCTCGTGGTGAGGGTGGCTATCTGCTGAACTCTGAAGGTGAGCGATTCATGGAACGTTACGCGCCTACTGCGAAGGATCTTGCGTCCCGAGACGTGGTGTCGCGATCCATGACGATGGAAATCCGCGAAGGTCGTGGTGTTGGACCGGAGAAGGACCACATCTATCTTCAGCTTAGCCATCTGCCTGCAGAGATTCTCCACGAGAGACTTCCCGGTATCTCGGAAACGGCCTCTATTTTCTCTGGTGTCGACGTCACGAAACAACCCATCCCCGTTCTACCCACGGTGCACTATAACATGGGCGGTATCCCGACCAAATACACCGGTGAAGTTCTCCGTCTCAACGACAAGGGTGAGGATGAAGTTGTTCCGGGACTGTTCGCCTGCGGTGAAGCCGCCTGTGTCTCGGTACATGGAGCGAATCGTTTGGGTGCCAACTCTCTGCTCGACTTGATTGTCTTTGGGCGGGCGGTCTCACACACCATCCGTGACAACTTCTCACCAGGCCAGACACAGAAGGAGCTCGCCGCCGACGCGGGCGCGGAGTCGATCAACGTCCTGGACAAGATCCGGAACTCCGATGGCCCTAAGAGCACGGCGGAAATTCGTTCTGCGATGCAGAAGACTATGCAGACCGATGTCAGCGTCTTCCGAACACAGGAGTCGTTGGACGAAGGTGTGAAGAAGATTACCGAGGTCGACCAGATGTTCGATAGCGTCGGTATCAAGGACAGAAGTATGATCTGGAACTCGGATCTCGTGGAGACGCTCGAGCTGAGGAATTTGTTGACTTGCGCGTAAGTACCGATCGGAGTCCTTTCGTGAAGCGAGATACTAACAGCAACATCTACAGGACGCAAACGGCAGCCTCAGCGGCCAACCGCAAGGAATCTCGTGGTGCTCATGCCCGTGAAGACTACCCTGAACGTGACGATGAGAACTGGATGAAGCACACTCTTTCGTGGCAGAAGTCGCCGCACGGCAAAGTCGAGTTGGGTTACCGGGCGGTCACCAGCCACACGCTTGACGAGAACGAGTGCAAGTCTGTGCCGCCTTTCAAGCGAACATATTAAGCAAAAAGGGCGCACATGCTCCGGGATGGTCAGAGAGGGGGTGTTTCTTGAAGAGCTTTGCGTTATGTCGATAGCATGGTCGTATACCACACTAAGCAAATCAATGTAAAAAGGTTACGTGACTTCATCGCATCGAAAAGGGATGAATGGATGTGCTCGAGTCTTCGAGGCTCATACTATCCCCTTTCTTTCAGCATTCTATTCTCCTATGACGTACTCACATCCTGTCCATTTAACGAGTCAGTCAGTAATTGACGTGAGCACAACGACTGGCTGGACATTAAGACTCTAAGCAATAGTTACGTTGCATGTCTTTCTTGAATTCTGTTGAGTAGATGGACCTCGACCCTGACCTCGACCAGGACTAGGGCCAGGGCCAGTGCCAGGAAAAGAGATGAGAATGCACTCAACTCACCTTCTTCGCCCATCCAGACCTCGTGCGTCTTTCCCGCGGGCACGTCGATGCGGGCGCCGACCCCGAACGTCTCCTTGGTCGGGTTCGCGTCGTCCGGGTACGTGATGGTCAGGGTTCCGCGGCGGATCAGGTGCGTGGTCAGGCCGAGGTGCTGGTGCGGAGGGTAGTGCGCGTAGCTGCCGAGCTCTTTGCTTCAGTACTTTTTCAGGATCCAGGGTGACTATGTGAGTGACGCGAGAGTGTTCCGCGTGTAGTACTCGTATGTACTCGATGTGGCTAATCACACAGTTTGGTAGGTAGGAAAAAGACAGAAAGAGATGGTAGCGACAGAGGCCCGTGCATCGAATCTGCAGTGCGATTTGGACCCTCCTTTTCCCCCTCTCGTTCTGGTCCAAAGATTCTTTTGGTAAAAGGAAGAGGGGACGGGGTCACTACTCACGGAGCATCGGTCCACGTGAAGACGTGGCGGAAGCCCCATTCGCGCACGGTCCTTTCGTCTTGCGAGCGGGAAGTTGTTCGTGCGGACATATTTGGGGACTGCGTCTGGAGAGGGTGGAATACTTGAGGGTTTCAGGGAGAGACAGGGAATGGCAATCTGCGTGTTGCTGAGGTGAGAGAGATGGTGACATGGATGTACTTATTACATACATGTTGTGAGTTGTTCCATAAAGGTCGCTGAGCATGACCGAGTTATTTAGGTCACGTGGTTGCGAGCGAATGTTGACGTCTGCCAAGCTTTGTTCGATATTCGCCCTTTGCTCCATGTCTTAGTTTGATGATTCCTCAGAGCGCTGCGATTGCAACAGCAATGGCCTGGACCTCGCAGAGACACGCGCAATCTGGGAATGTCTCATACCTCCCTACCTCGTCACTCACCTTTTCGGTGGCCAGGCCAGACCGACCTTGAATAGAACACGTACTGTTGTCCCCCGGTCCCGGTCGACCCAGAGCGACGGGTTTCGCAACGAAGTTGCCATTATCTTGTGTCACTACTGACTGGGAAACACATGGCCAGAAAGACGATATGCAGAAGAAATGATACGGTTATCAGCACAACGTGGCCAGAATATTGGAATTGCATCATCTCCCCATTGCTGCGTCCATCCGCAAGGGCGATCTCAATGTATTTCTCCACATGCTCGTCTCGTCGTGGCGGACTATTGGGATTGGTCGCTGGGGAGATGTTGTGAGCATCTCAGCTGCTGCAGTTATGCCCCGTGGCAACCTCACTCACAGAGTTTTGAACCTTGGGGGAATGGGAAGTGGGGGAACTTTGTCTTTGCTCGCGTTACTGTGGCAGTCGCGTTTGGATGTTCCCTTGCGCGTCGTCATCGTGAAAGTCGTCTTTTTCGATCGACAGCTGGACAGAATTTGTCGCCAGAGCGACAACAAGGCAACGAATTTGGGACGACAATGTTCAGACCATATACCATGGTTCACTCTTGAGCGGATCGCCCTCTGACGCGTCTTGGTACTAAATACGAATACCCCCCCTCCGCTTTCCTAAAAATGGTCTGCGACGGTCATGGGAAAAGGGTCGCACGTCACGGAATTAGGATGCCCGAGTTCCGTACATTTTAGGAATCCCGTGGATGAAAAACATGGATCTCAATTAAAGCTGCGACGGACCCTTGGGGCAACAACGGTCATGGATCGATTAAGGCTGAACTCAGCGAGGCTGTAGGTGTGACTGGTGGTAATTATTATTGGGGACACAAGGCTCCCGACAACCATGAACCCAGCATGGACGCCTCGTGGAGGAATTATACTCATACAGGTCTCATCATCGGCGGTGACTGATGGGGATTTTCGCCCTCGCCGAAGCTTACGCGTCGAGGTACCAACATAGGACTCGTAAGAACTGCGGCGGACTGAGGCGGACTGAAGTGGACGATGCAATTTCCCCGGATGCGACCGACCCCATCCGCCAACGTAATGCAATCAGGGCTTCATTCAAGACGGGCCATTGGGAAGCGGCGGTGGTGGTGACGGCGCAGTGTGGACGTTGAGAAAAGTCAACAAAGGGGTAAGTCTCAGGGGGACCGGTGGAGCCAGATTGACCACATCTGGACTAGCGTGCTCGACGGATGCAGATGGAATCCACCTGGGATCCACCTGCTCAACTTCCCTCACCCTCGCCTTGTGTCTTCCCTCTCTTCCTCCATTTTCACTCCCCATGTGTGTTCATCTCCCAATCATATCCCTTAGGCTGACCGTGCGAGGGGCTAACCGACATCACCTTGAACGCGAATATCCTCTCGGCGTTCCTGGCAACCGCAACGGGGAGAGCGACACATTCGTGGACAATCACCCCCTCATGAGCCATGGCAACCCGGCCACCCTGAGGTCATAGAAGGCAGGAAGTGAAGCCTGCCACCGGAGTGATTGACCTGATCGACTGTTGATACAGGTCTCTAGAACTTGACCAGCCAAGCCAGCCCTCGTCCTGCCACAGCTGGGGGGGTGTCTCCCAACCAGCCAGCCAGCCATCCATCCCGCCCGCCCCAAGGCTGAGGCGCCAGGATTGCTCCCCTCCCCCTGCATGAAAATGCCATCAAGGCCTCTTTCTTTCCCCAGCTCGACCTTGGCTCTAGCGAGAACAGTGCTGGCGGCTCCACTCTCAGGCCATTGTTGGGCCAGCCAGGGCCAACGACGTCGGCGATCCAACGCCTCGACAATCTGGCAAGGACAATGAGAGTGGATCCTTGGGCCCGGCCTTGTTTGTTTCACATTCATGGCTTACGGTAGGTCATGGGGGCTGAACGATAGTCTGGTCCAAAATGGATCTGCTATATTTCCCTCCTCCGAGTTTCTTTCTTCCTTCTTTCCTTTGTCGTTGGTTGATAACCTCCGTCGAGTATCCCAAAGAAGTCTGTGACTTTCATTGCGCTCTTTCGACTTACACTCTTTTTGTCCCCGGAGGATTCCACGCTCATTATTCCCAGCCTTACCTTCCCAACCTTCGACGCTCCTTATAACAGGCCGTTCTCGACGCCTCGCACTCTTTTGGCACCGTTTGGAAAAAGCAGAAAGGAAAAGAAACCCTCGAAGTGACAAACGAACAAAATCGAAAATATGCAGCTCGTCAAGACCGTCTCCGTCTTGGCCCTGGCCACCGGTGCTGTTGTCGCCATGCCCGCCAATGTTGAAAAGGCCGCCCTCGCCAAACGTCAATGGTGGGGAGGAAACCGGTACTGGCAGCGTCCCAACCCGACCGCTGAAATCACCGTCACTGGATACGCTCCTGAGGCGACGGGCGCATGGTACAGCGACGCAGCCACGTCCACCACCGCCCCGGCCACGACGGCTGCCCCAACCACCACGAGTGACATTGTTGTGAGCGCAACCCCGGTCACCGACAGCAACTTTGGCAACTACGGCGGCTACTACAACAGACCGCAAGACAACAACACCCCATCCCAAGCGCCCCCGGCTCCTAGCTCACCTCCCCAGAGCCCGTCCGCGTCTCCATCAGCCCCGGCAGCGACCAATGCTCCTTCCTCCGGCTCGTCCGGGGGCCAGGGCGACTACATGTCAGTTGTGTCCAAGTGGCGCAGCGCTGGTGGTCTTTCTGCTCTCTCTCAAGACAGCAAGCTCGAGGCCAACGCCTTGAAGACCAGCACCGACAGCGTGGGCGGCTTGAAACACGAATTGAACCCAGGCACCATGGCTCAAGTCCTGGCCCCCGGCGACCTCAGCAACTTCGAGAGCGTCTACGTCGGTGGATGGCTCTGCGAGATCCCCTCGCTCCCTGGCCTGAACGGCATCTGCTCCACCGCAGCTCAAGGATGGGATCACAGCAATGGCGAGACCGGTCATGCCGAGATCTTGACATCGTCATCCTACTCGCGCATCGGTTGCGCTCTTTCATCCTCAACCGGTGTCTGGGCATGCGGTAAGTTTATTCTCCCCCTGTTTGATGTTCTGGCTTGGAATTGGACTAACCGTTCTTGGTAGACCTGGCTTAAACAATACGAAACCCCATGTAGCGAACAAACAAGATCCCAAGACCGACCTATAGCGAACCCAGTTTTTTTTTTACCATGTATAGGGGGGGGATTTTGCCTGACGACGACGACGATGATCAACTTTGTCTGTCTTGTGTGTCAGTGTTTTTAACTTTTTTGCATGAATGTCAGAAAGCGTTTCTACTCGGCATTTTGGAGGAAAAAAAGGGCAAAAAGACAAAGGGGCAAAGCGGTGAGGGGGGAAAAGAGAAAGAGGGTATTCGAATCCAATCCCAATTCCCCCCATCATCCTTTCTGGCTTTCCTATATGAGAAGGGCGGGAAAGAGGGAGGGGGTTTTTTCCAAGGCCATGATTTTAACGTTTTCGGGATAATCTTCTCCAACCTTTATTCTTCCAAGATATGTATGTTTTTTTTCCTTGATACTTTTCTATCTTATGTACGTAGGTCACACACGCCCCTTTTTGGGACAGAGCGGAAAGCCAGATCCCCGACAATTACATAGGTAACTTGACTGACTGACGAGAACGACTGTCTGATATGGCCCTCGGCCTGATCTGTATGTATGTATTTATGTATGCACTCGGTATATACACTGTATGTATATCGTCGTTGGGGCCGAGCCAAGCCAGGAATCCCATCCTCCCCCAAAGGGCAATCGATATATGTGTCTGTTATAGATATCTACACATGTATGTCTTCTTGATCCACCCTTACAGGGGCTTACCTAGGCAATACAACCGTCACTCGTCACTCCTTTTTCTCTTTTCCCAGACTTACAATCGCGCTTCGCCAGTTCGACAAGAATATGATGACATGACATGATATGATATGGTTCGCCACGGACCGGAACGAAGTTATCCGTCACTCTACGTACCGGTGTAGTGGTATAGGGAGACTTATGCACTCCCCTTGCTGGGTGACCTTGTGAGGAGAGGAGGACAAGACACCGTACAGAGGCGGGTGGGCTGCTTGAAACAAAGGAGTGATGCGCCGAGCGATGACCCGAGTGCGAGGGACTCGGAGTATGCACCGATCAGGGTGGGACAAGTTTTGGGATGGGATGTAAGGCTATGATAACATCACCCTCACCCAGTCTCGGTCTCGCGCCCGTTACCCAGAGGCCAAGGTGTGCCCAAGTGCCCAGCTGTCCAGGGACGCGGAAGGCAAACAAGCCAACAAACTCAATCATCCCTCCCCCCTCCCCCCTATTGTTACTGCTCTGTTCTTTCCCCTTTTGTCAAAGTGAGGAGGGGAGAAAGAGTGCATGTCTCAGTCCCGGCCTGCCCGGTACCTAGTTAACGAGGATCGAGTTTGCCGAGGGTTTTGGTGATATTCGAGAACGAATACGAGGACAAGTACAAGCACGAGTTAATATGTACACGTGTACCGAGTACTTACCTGTTACTGTACGTACCTTCCAAGGGTTCTTTGCCAAATACAAGACAGACACAGATACAGACACACACAGAACTGTAAGTATGATTCATTGCTGTGCTTTCATCCTGTTCATGCCCTCTGCCAATAAACAGTGTATACCTCACTCAGTACGTTCGGGAGTGTCAGAGGTCTTCGGCCATAACAATAGATGCAAGCCCAGGGCAGATCAACTTTAGGCAAGTATACGAGGTCAGTTCCTTCAGACGGCCAATCGCCGTGTCCACTGGTGAGACTTGACCACTACATCAACCCAATGCAGGAATATGGACAAAATCAAGTGTCAGAGAAAAAACTGAATTGCAAGGAGATGAATTTGTATTCTGTATCTTGTATCAATGTCATAGTTGGCCGATTCCCCCATTCTCCATAGCCAAACAAGAGCTATTGAATCATGTCATGAAACCAGCTGAAAATGTGGATTGATTGAAGCAGTCTTTCCCTTTTGACCTTCTCCTCGCAATCATGAGCATTGGCTTTCATGTCCGCCAAACCCATTGCTTCGTGTCCAGTCTCGAATCTCCAAGATCTCCCAGTCCGTAGGAAGAGAAGTGAACAAGGAAAAGAGAACTGGACCGGTATCATCACGTCGTCATCAATTATTCAAGTCGTCAACCTTCCAGCTCGCTTCACTCCTGTGTCTCAACACCGGCATCTTTTTTTTTTGTGGGTTTGTCGATGGGTGGAGTTGGTAGTGAAAAAAAATTTCCTTCAATAAAAACAAAAGCTCGCTCCGCGAAAACTTGCTAAAGTGTACATGGCGGCGGGTAGTGCCCTTTGGCCGCTTTCGCCCCTGCAATCCTCGAGGGGATTGGGATCTTTCCCAGTGAAGTCTAATTATTCATGTCATAGTCGATGAAATCGCTGTCGTTCCAGACAGAATCGAACATTGGGTCGTTGTCGAGAGTAGCAAAGGCCTCAGGACCACCCGGGAACAAAGTTGCCGTGGCGGCGGCGGGGTTGGAGAAGGCATTGCTGCTTTCACCTCCAAAGAGGGAGAAGTCACTCTGAAACTCCGGGTCCGAGCCAATCAGCGGGGCATCGTTGAATGACTGTCCAGAAGGACCAGCAATCATGGGAGAATGCTCCGAGATGGACGGATTGCGAGAGGTCGGCTGGAAGTAGGAGCTTGGTGTTGGCAGCCCCTGGTTCCAGGAAGTCTGGTTGTTGCAGTCCACGGTGATATCCATGGCTGTATTGTATGGAGATGGCTCAGTGATGTTGCTGTATGTTGGTGTGATGGGCGTGGTCATCAGGTTAGGATACTGAGCGGGCTGATAGGCGGCCTGGAAAGGAGCGTTGAAGTCGAAATCATCACCCGCTGGGTTGTAAGGGGCAGCAGGAGGGTTTCGCGGGAAGATCGGGTTCGAATACGTAACCGGTGTCGAGTTGAAATTGTCGAAAGCGTTGACCGGCTGCTCAAATGGCGTCATGGAAGAGCTGCCAGGCATGCTTCCAGCGATGCTTCCCGCAATAGAGCTGGTGTCGTCCCAGGTTCTGATAGAGACAGCCGGGCTGGGGGAATAATCCATGCTTGGAGTGCGTGGAGTCTGAGCCGGTGTCATTTTGGTCATGACCTTGTCTTTACCCTTGGCACGTTCGTAGTGCCAACCATGCTTCTTCTCCTGATGCTGCTTGCAGTTGCTCTCACGCTTGGTACGGAACTCACAGAACTCGCACTTATAGAAGACAGGGTTTTTGGAATGACGGTCATTGATGTGTCGCTCCCGTTCCTTCTCGGTTGGAAGTCCAAGCTCATGGTACTTGCAGCTCGCCTCGGGACATTTAAAAGGGCGAGAATGCGTCTTCTCGTGCTTGGCCAGGTCACACTTCCGGTTGAAGATCTTGTCACAGGTAGGGTCGGAGCATTTCATCTCAACAATTTCGGGGATGTAGCCCTTCTTTCTGCGTGCCATGGACCTTGCCACGTCTTCATCAAGAGCTTCACTGCTAGCTCTTTTGACGCCGGGACTGGGCACATAAGGCAGACCAGTCCTCAGAGAGTAGCCCTTGCCATTCTTCCAGCGAACGAGCTCGGCCTCGTTGCCAGTTTCCCCAAGACCACCCTCCAGGGTAACCTCGTCATCGATGGAGTAAGCCATGTCGTCGTTTTCCTCAGCAGTGCCTGCCTGCTGAGCGCGACTGGAAGAGCCGATATGTGCAGCTAGTCGGTTGACCTGTTGAACCAGGTCAAGGAAGTAACCGTTGTTGTATGGACGGTCGGCGGCACGTCGTTGTTCAGACTCAGCAAGATGTTGGTAGGTATCGACAACAAGCTGGATCGTGAACTCGCCGAAGAGGCGGTACAGTTGCCTTGAGATGGCAAGTGTCTTGAAATCGACGTCAGATGCTGTCAAGCCGGTGACGGTGAGGGTGCTTACCAGTGGCTGAAAGATGAGGCTTTGTTCAAGGTCTCGCAAGCATTTAACGGCCTTGTTGTTCTTGGATCCAAGAGCAGTGACAAGAGGATGGAAGTCCTCGAATCGATCTTCTCGGAGGATAGGGGTGATGATATAGTCCTTGATCTTCTTTCGAGCCGAAGGACTCAGTGCGGGGTGACGCAAAGTAGGTCGAGAAGTGGGCGGAGCAATGCTCTGCGTGACAGCGGATCGGGTAACGGTGCTGCAAGTCCTAGATGGAGCAGGACTGCCTCGTTGCCTAGTGCGTCGAGTAGTCGTGTCTGGAGAGTCAGCTACTGCACGAGGTTGGTTAACACTGTCTTCACACATCAACATGCATCGGGCAATCCAACCTTGAACTGCTTGTGCAAGACTGTCGTCTTCGGAAGTATTTCCCGCGACTTTCTCGGCTGAGTCACTGATGGAAGTACCCAGCCCACTGTCCTTGTTCGACAACAAATCCAAAGCTCTTTCGAATGACTTGGCGAGACCTTTGTCACTTGCCGGGCTGATGGATGAACCCAGCCCTTCGTCGGAGGGTAACGTGACGCGGCGAACCCAGACTTGTTGGTCAAGCGACTGGGTGGAGCGACGACGACTGGATATCTTCCTGCCGCGAGCACCAGAGAAGGTTTGTTCAAAGTCGGCGATGGACTGAGCAACGTCTTCCTTTTCGGAAAGCCAACTAGTGAGAGTCGATTGAGAGCATGTCGGAGAGCGACGAGTCAGGTGAGGGATGCTGAGCACTGGATCATCCTCAGTGGCAGGCGAGGATGAATAGTGGAAGGTCGCGCCCTTGGGCAGGGACATCTTATGCAAGATGCATGCTGATGACTCTGTCGAGGTGGGAGAAGATGCAGTCAGGCCTTTGGTGATGAGTCGAGGAGTGCGGCGATGAGCAAATGGAGTGGGAGGAGGAGGCATGGTGGAGGAGGACGCCATGGTTGGTATATGTAAAAGTCTGGATGTACCAAAAGCGAGGAGATGATGCAGATGACTCGCAGGAGTGCTAGCCCGAAGTTTAGCACGCGGTCGATTGGTCGACTTGGATCATTCTCCGTTGCTATGACTCACCCGTGCCAGATAACCCCTCAAAAGATATAAAGCGAAGACTGAAAACGTGTGGAAACCGAAAGTCGCCTTGTACTCACAGTGGGCGTGTTTTTAATCCTTCTTTTCCACTTGGTGCCAATGATATCTGATGGGAAAACGCCTTTCCCGTCTAGTTCGTGGGGTACGTTCGAATACAATGTGGCCTCTCAACCCGGGCGCAGGTCGAAAGCGTGATTCACACTGGGAACCAAGTATATACCGATCGTTTGATGGTCTCGGAAGGAGCGGACAGGTGAAGTACAGCCTCACCGTTGGTGGGACCCAGTTGGGGTTCAGAGGGGATACGGGAGGACTGCTAGGACTGCACAGGTGTCCTTTTACAAAGACGCAGAAGTGCAATTGAGCACAACGGGAATGAAGTGAGGTTTGAGATCGAAGTGAGATAGGAGGGGGGTCTCGGATGAAGGGGGGAATAACCTGAGGCCAAGGTGGCGAGTCCTGGTGGTTTCCCTGAGTCGTGTAGCCGAGTTGGAGGCTTTGGTTTGGAGGAAGGGAGGGAGAAGGAGAGTCAGGGCAAAATGAGGTCGCGATTGAGAGGAAGAAGTGTGAGTCGAAGTGAAGCCCGTTGCGCTGATGATGTTTGAATCTCAGGTTCGCTGTTGCCTGCTTGGCACGACTAGGGGTCATCCACCTCTTTGGATGTTATTGGGTAAGCTGAAGGGGGCTCTATTCGCTTCCCTACCCTTCCAGTGTGGCGCGGGCACGCGCTGTGCCCCGGTGGTGTGCTTTGGGCGGCTTGTACAGGCACTCGCTATTAAGCTCCTGGGCTAACGGGCACTGAGGGTGCCCTTGGTCATCCGCGTCTCGGTCTTTAGCATCCCTGTCCATCGGCCGTAACTATTGCCCATGATCCGCCCTGCATCCAATCCCCATCTCCTACTACTCAAGTAGTCCATCACAAGTCCGTCTGTGTGCCCTGCAAGTTGGACCAGGATATTTACTACTTTCATGATGCAAAAGGAAAGGAGCCATATGCAGCGTGAAGAGCCTCTAGGAAAACGACCTACGAAAATCCAGTCCCTTGCTGCGACTCGAGTATCCAAGCCCTCTACAAGGACTTGTGCTTGTACCTATGACGATGACATATTGGCAGCTCACGCCATCGCTTATCTAATCAGTTCATGACCAAAAGTCAGCCCTGCCAAGACACGGACTCGGCGTGAAATCAACCCGTTCAACCCCGTTGCATCTACAAGTACGAGGTAAAGGATGGTAAAACTCTCCAGAATGAAATCTCAATGGCGCTTCTGACATGCCACTCCTTTTTCTCCAATTCCCACTCGAAAGGAAATGCCCTGCGGAGAGATCCGGAATGGCTTGAGACAGCAAAAGGAAGAAAAGGCAAAGGAGTGAGTGGTTGTGGCAGTGCAGAAATTCAAGCTTCGACACAAACAACCATTAAAAGGCCTCAGAAATTTATTCCCCTCGCGCTACTGGGAAACAGGTACCTCGCACGGATAACATCAATCAATCCCACATGGACTTTTGGTGAAAGTCGCCACTCTGTCCACTTTTCGGCCATTGATATCCATTCGTTCCTGGATTACCTGGTGCGAGTCCACACAGGACTCAACTCGACAGGAACCGTGCCGACCGGTGAATGCAGCAAAAATACGCCTTGGACGTCGGTGATTGGCTGACATGCACCGGATGCAAGGCACTTCAGGCCTCCCGTGTGTTCATGACGCATGTCTCTCTAAACGAACTAGCACTAAAGGGCATTTTTGTAACCCTCCAAAAGGTACGGAAAGATTGGCACCGTGGGAGGCCCTACCTGGAGAAGAAAGGTCGAGTCGAACAAGAACTGTTGTGGGTGGTTGTCCCACTAATTACGGGGTACTCGATACTTACTCAATCCCCACAACCGGAAAGCCTGTGCCAGAAGACCAAACAAGCATTTTCTTTTCAGGGTGAGGACAAGCAGAGTGACTCACGGACTGTCACCCTCCTTGCTGCAAGGCCTCGTATTTTGGTCCAATCACAATACCTTTCATTCCGAAATTTGAGCCTCTGGAAGCGCGCTGTCACAACCATGATATCACCTGATCATTGCGGATGGTCGTGGCGTTGGAAAGGATTGGTCTTGCGTGGCAGGAATAATAATACGAGGTTACGAGGACTCGGTCGTGTTTCCAATGTTCTTCGCGTAGAAGCCAGCAGGCCAGCGTTATTTTGTCGAAACAGCGATCTCTTTGAATCTGCTTCCTGCAAATGGCTAGTTCGTCACCCAGCCTCCGATCCCCAAAATCCCCCCGTCAGGCCCTTGGCTGTCCATTGTCCATTTCTTCACGGGCGCGCAGCTCGTATCAGTTGTATACCCAGCCTCGAACATCTCAATGCCCGCCCATCCAATCATCGCCGCATTGTCCGTGCAGAGATCGACAGGTGGAAAGACCAGGTCCATCCGCTCGAAAGAACGCAAATCCAAAAGTCTTCGTAGATAGTAGCGTAAGAAGTCGTTCGCCGCCACGCCTCCGCTCACCACCAAAGTGGGAATCTCAACACCTTCTGCACGGAGTTTCTCCAACGCAATGATGGTTCGCGATCCCAGATGTTCAAAGGCTGTGCCCAGGGCAGATCTGGCCAATAAAACCCTCTCTTCCTCCGTCAAATGGCCAGTCTGGGCTCCACTTGCGAGGGCACGCCTCTTGACCTGGCTCGCAATGCCTGAGAAACTAAAGGCCAGATCCCTGTTCTGGGACATCGGGGTCGTAAGGCTCCATCCAAACCTATTCGTGGGCTTATTGAGCTCTTCGACGCGTGTTTGCGGCACATGCCAGGACTTGAATTCTTCCGGCTCCTTGAAGGCGTATCTTGAAAGATATTTCCCAAAGGCAGTATCCGGAGTGCTCTGCTGCAGCTCTTGAGGAAGGATGAGGCGTCCACACTTGTCCAGCTCGTCGCCTACGGCTGTGTCGGTAGTTGTAGCCAAGATCTTGTGGTCGACCAGGCCCTTTGAATAGAGCAGCATTGTGTGCCCACCACTGACCAACAATGTCAGGAACGGAAACGTTGGTGTTGGGGATGTCTGTTTGAGAGGGTCTCCTTCGGACATTGCATTAACAAGCCTTGGTGTCAAAGCGTGGGCTTGCATGTGGTGAACGCCGACCATTGGTATCTGCCACGCCGTCGCGATGCCTTTGGCCGTGGCCAACCCAACCCCAAGGTTCGCTGACATTCCGGGACCCCTCGTTACCGAGATAAAGTCTGGTTTTTGCTTCGGCGTGCCATCTCGAAGCCATGTTCTCTTTGCATCGGGGAGTGCATCGTTGGCTGTCGGTAAAGACAGGACCGCTTCCTCCAGCAATTTCGAAAGGTTCGATTGGTGACTCTCTAGTGCCTCGGTGGGAAGGATGCCTCCTTTCCCGGTATTTTTGGCGGTGATCTTTTTATTGTAGAGCAGCTGTGCCTTCACCCGGAGCGGCTTATTTGTTGTTGTACATTTTGAAAGGACGGCGACGCAGGTGTCGTCGCAAGAGGACTCAATCGCAAGAGTAAGGAGGCTGCGCCGGGGTGCAAGGCCACTGAGAGTTCGTCGACATGGGTTGTACAGGACTCTCGAGGAACGAAGACCATAAAGCATCGACGATAACGGAAGAGTATACCCTCTGACTTGATCTGTTCAACAGGGTCGGTGTCGCTCAAAAATGGTTGCTTCCGCGTAAATAGAAAGTTGAGGACCCGATGTTTACCCGGACATTCACCGAGCCACCCATCACGGCCACGCATGTCCACCCACTCACGACTCGTCGACGGCTTTCCATCAATGTTAGGGGAACAAACTGCTGTCCTGTCCTCTGTACTCGCTGCATGCAATGCTGCACGGATGCTTCATGTTTGTGGAACCAAGGTAAGGGCAGTGGCTGGATGTCCTGATCAAGCAGTGACAGACCCAGTGACCAACACCCAGTTTCATGGAGAGAAAGGTCATCAATCGGTCATCGACCCCCCCGTACCAATGCCTACGGACCATTCACTCTGAATTGGTCCGTTTCTCGCCAGAAGGAGTCCACAGTCGATCTATCATCGAGATGCAATGCCTGGGGACAGATGGCGCAGATTCGAATTAGGTTTGATGATTCACCACTCCACGAATTGATGTCATGACTTTGCTGCGAGGCACCAATACCGGAGTATATAGAGCTCCTGAGATTTCAATGGTTAGGCGTGGCCAGCAGATCTGTTTCCAAGATCTTCCTCTGCAACACATACAAATATTGCAAAAATGCAGCGAATCCAACTTCTACAACGTGTCGTTCCTCGCGTGAATGGTACCAGGACGCTGAGCCGGACACTCGTCGCCAGCAGCCCACGCCAGGCGGCAGGCAACAATAATCCAGGTATGTCATAGGTAATTCATGTTTGACATTATCCCCCAAGATTGACGCGAAGGATAGTTGATGGCAAGAGTCATGCAACCGGCGAGAGCGTCGTGCCCGACCCCGTACAGCGAGCGGCGCCAGAGGGTCTAGAAAAGACTCTCCCCGAGAGCGTGCACCCTACGAAAGGCAGCAGTATTGATCCACACAACGAAGATTCTAGCTTCAAGAGCCATGCCACGGGGCCGAGTGTCGTCCCCGAATTTGTCCAAAAAGCCGCCCCTGAAGCCTTGGAGAAGGCGCTCCCAGAAAGCATTCACCCGACCAAGGGGAGTGATATTGATCCTCACCCGGGGCAGACGAAGACCCCTAAGTAGGACATCTGCTGCGGTTGATGAGTTTCAAGTCGATGGCCCTTAGCAGCATATATGTGAGATGTATGGGGGTTGTTTGAGCGAAAGACTTACAGCCCGATCCTGAACTCCGGGTGAATTGAAGGCACATGTGGGCTGCAAGATCTTTCCTATTCTCCTCTCACGATGGATGATGGAGATGGCATGGTTACTGAGCACTTAGACCTGTGTTGCTGGCTCCATCTACCTTTCCAAAAACAAACACATGGCGATAACCCATAAAACACCAAATGAAGAAACCAAATCAATGCGAGAAACTCCAACCACCAATATCTGAGTTCTTGTACTCACTTAACTGCATCTCCGTACGTCGATATCCCCCGTGACGCATATATTGTCCGCTGCAGATACCTAGTACCTAGGTACTCTTGAAAGCTTGAGTCCGCCCAGTACCGTCCTGCCGGGCCCCCAATGCTTAACACGATGATCACTACTCAAACGTGATTTTGTCGTTACTCCCGGCTACCCAATGCGCAACAATACAACAGATAACATGGCAAGAATATATGTACGTGCTGTGTATTTCTCCCTCCTTGAGGAACCTTCGCAAGTCCAAGCGGCCGGAAAAAAAAAAGAGAGAATTTCAAGCCTGAATGGACACCGAATGTTCGTTCTTCATTCAGCGTCTATACTTGCGTCCTTTTATAGGTGAAGGGGAGGGACATGAAGAGGTGTAGCTCTACAGACCACAACCTCGACATTTGACGTTGGACAATTGGCATTTGCCATGTTGATATTTTAACACATACACTTCTATTATTCCATCTATCTACTCTCCAAATCTAAACCTTCGACGCCCGCCTCGCCTCCATGAGATTCGCCTGGATCATCTTGCCCACGTTGGGCCCGTCGTATTTGCGCACGGCGTGGACGAACCACCAAAATGTCGTGAGGGTGACGACTCCGACCAGGATGACCGAGTTGTAGTTCATGGTGGCGGTGGTTGTGGGGAGGGCGTACTGCGACACATGCATCAGCGAGAGAGGTGGGGAGAAAGGAATAAGGAGAGATGAGGGATGAGATTCGAGTGGTGCTTTTTAAAGAGGATGGATAGAGATGGAGAGGGGGGAAAAAACTTACAGGAAAACAATAAAAGGTGTCGAAGAAAATGATAAAAACCACCGCGAGCCCGTTGATCAGGTACCCGAACCTGCCCAGGGTGAACGGCCCCACGGGCATGTACTTCCTACGGGTGACGATGTTGGGGAGGATGGTGACGACGTACGAGACGCTGCTGAGCACGACAAAGGAGCCGGCTAGGTCATTGAAGGCCGTCTTGCTGCCGAGGGTGATGGCGCAGAGGCCGATGGTCAGCAAGCCCGTCAGGAGGGTGGCTTCGATCGGACAGCTCAGTCTCTCGTTCACGTGTGAGAAGAAGCCCGAGAATGGGGTGGCGTTGTCGCGCGCCAGCGCCCACCAGGTGCGTCCGACGGTCAGGAACGTCCCGATCAGGCACGGCACGAGGGACAGGAAGATGATGAAGAGGAGGCCGAAGGTCGCCGCCCGGCTGCCCGTCGCTTGCGAGTAGGCCTGCGCCAGTGGGAATGAGCCGTTGCTGTTCTGCACGGCCGTGAGGTCGTTGACGCCGTAGAACAGCGCGATGGCGAAGCACCAGGCATACAGAAACCCGAGGCCGATCTGGGCGAAGATGGCCTTGGGTAGGTCGCGTTTGGGATTGGGCAGTTCTTCAGCCATGTGTGTCACCCCGTCGGCCGTGCCGATGGTGAAGGCCCCGTTGAGAACACCGGTCAAGAAAGCCACTCCGCCGCTCCAGCCCGTGTTGTTCTGGAAGTCGGTCCAGACAAATCTGTTAGACGCGTGGCGAGACGGCATGCCCGCGAGGACAATGATGGTGACGATGCCGCCCACCGTGACGATGAACAGGCCAAAGTGCTGAAGATAGGCCAGCGTGTTATTGAAAAAGATGGTGACGGTCAGACACAACACAATGATGCACACCAAACCCACGAACAGATTCCAGGGCTGAATCACATAGTCTGGGTGGTACAGAAAGTACATCTGGACGCACAGTTCCGACATGATGTATGAAATGGACGCCAGGTCAAACAACCAGCCGAAATAGTTCAGAGAACCGGCAAAGAACCCCATAGGACGACCCCATTTGGGCCCTGCGGTGATGGTCGCCCAGTGATAGACGCCTCCAGAAGAAGGCACCGAGGACGCGAGTTCGGCGATGGAGGCATTGATGAAGCTGTAGTAGAAGGCCGCAACCCACAGCTCCCATATCACTCCGGGAGCACCTCCATTGTAGATCGAGACGGCGAGCGATGTTCCCAGGGCGACCCATGCATTGTCGACCGTCATTGCCAGACCCAAGATACTCAATAGACCATATTGGCGGTTCAGCTGGTCCACGTGGCCAGATGCGTTGAGAACCTCCCCGTCCAAGGATATCACAACCTGTTGCTCGCCAGAAGCCAGGAGCCCTTCGGGATTCTCTGTCGGTTTCTCCTCCTTGACGTCGTCCATTTTCACTTGAATAAAGCGTATATCGTCAGGGCCTCAATACATGCAGGATATTTTCAGTCCTTTCTGTCTCTCGTTAGAAGAAGCATGGAAGAGTTGCACTAGAGGGGTGACGAGTGAGTAATAGGGGGCCGGAGACCTCGCCAGAGACCAGCGGTACAGGTGGTACAGGGAACTGGAGCCATAATATGCGAGGGCCAAAAATGCATCGCACCTAACAAGAAGCTGGTCGATAAGGATCTGGGGGGCCACCAGGCTGGAATCAGAGTTCGTGTCCCAAGAGGGAAGCTGGAGATAGACTGGACCATGCTGATACCATGACGCGTATCTTTCATGAAGGGAATATCAAATATAAACAGTCAGAGCCGTGGAGGGAGTGACAGGAAGATAGGCTGATGGTTGGTGATTGGTTGTAGATAGGCCTGTCACCAAGCTGTGGCTTTGGTGGACGTCTCAGATCTCATGTACACTATGCACAAGTAGCGAGTAATAGCGAGTAGCGGTAAGGACTGTAAGGATCATGGGCAACAGGGTTAATAAGCTTAAGTTAGTATCGAGATAGACAGGGCTTGTGGGCTTGAAGCACGCGGAAGATGAACCACATGAAAAACTTTTGTCGAACCTCATGCGCCAAGTCGATAATTGGCCGACAAGAATTAACGCCGTCACTTCTCTACGATTCCCACATGCACCGTATCATCAACCTTCCTCTCTCTGTAAAACCACCATGATAGCTCCAAGGCCCGAGGCGTCAAGGCAGGATCCCGCTGATCCCACGGGCGCAGAAACATGCCTTCGGATTATCGCCGCGCAGGGCTCATCGTGGGGTTAATCGACACCAATCCAGCAGGTGCACACGAACAAAGTCCAGGCCCGCCTCTCCAACGGTAGCGTGTCAGCAATCCTTCTGGGCCCTCGGTTTCCCTTCGTTAGCAAACGAGAGTGCGAGACGCACGATACTGCACTTGTGTCAACTGCGTAATGACTTCAACACTCGACAGCCTTCAGGAGATTCGCTCAGTCCTACCATGCCTATCAGAGTAGCAGGACAGGATATGCCATTCCGACAAGAAGCCCCAAAACTTGCCATACCTTCCCAGTCTGCCCAGTCCACCTCGCCAAGGGATTCAGTCGATGTGCGCCAGCCGACGAAGGCGAACTTGAAGACGAGGCTGCGGTAGAGGCCGCGGAACCACTGGCAGAAACTGTTCCAGAAGCCGATGGGCCCGCCGCAGACGATGAGATGGCTGCACTGGGCGATGGCTGTGACTCCAGATTTCCGGTGACAGCCCCTCCTTTGGTCACGAGAGGATAGACATAGCTTCCGTCCGAGAGTCCCGGCGCAGGCACATACCACCGAAGCAAGAGGACAAAAGGACCTGCTTCTGGAGGCGAAGGTAGCCAGTTGGACGTCCAGTTGCTCGGTGGCTGCGCGGCCTGGACGAGAATGTCAAATGGCTTGTCCACCACAGCATCACTGTTTGGTCCGTACACAGGAGTGCCATCAGAATAAGTCAGGTTATCACGATCGCCGAGAGAATATCTGTTGATAGGATTGTCCACGAGATAGCCAGCGGCATTGTACATGGTGGCACTCCAAAACCCAAGCTTCGTCAGCGGTGGTTTGCCAGAGAATCTCAGAATGTATGATTCATTGGCACCCAGGCTGAGGTTTCCTGCAAAGGTCGGATAAATGGCTTGCGCAGGCTGAAGCATCAGATAACCAAACTGTGCAATATACGCGCGAGCCATTATGTTGTCACCATATACACCGGAGTATTGTGGGCTGTTGATGGTCCACCCATTACCCATATCCAGCACGCTCCCGTTCGCTTGGGGAAATGACTGGATCGCAGCCTGGGCTGCCAACCATGCCGAGGTTAGATTGACGCAGGTTGAGGCCGTATATGTACCGCCTAAGATACCAGCCTGAGTGAAGTTGGAGGTGGTGAGAGGAGACTTGCCGCCAGAGGCATTGTAAGGTGAGACGGCTTGGAACCGTGCGTTCAACTCCATCACACTTTCCGCCGTGGAGCGTGGGAGGACTGCGAATATAGCACTGTCGAGCGCCGGACCAACCGCCGATCCATTGCGAGAGGCCACGGCGATGTTGTAGCTTTTGAGGATGTCGCTCACAACAGACAAGTCGCTGGTTGCGTTTTTGACAACAATTCGATACAGAACAATCCCAAATGTGGTGGGAGAGTACACGGTGCCCATGTAGCCATCGTTGCTGGACGTCGAGAAAGTCCCCATAGCACTGCTGGACGGTGCTAGGGTCAGGAGATACTTGCCAGCTGGGTTGCCTCCCACAGGGCCCAAGTTGATATAGTTGTCCCCGTATCTGAAAGGTTTTCGTCAGTGAGCATAGCAACGACGGGGAGCCCCGACATACGGTGTGTAGAAAGCAACGGCATAATAGCGGTCGTCAACCTCTGGAACATCCACCACCAGGTCCTGTTTGGATAAATCGTAGA